AGTTTTTCCATGGAAAATGGACGACAATCGCATATCCTGAATGATATTTCCCTCTAAGTTGTTAATTTCACATAAGCACATGCATCTAAACATATGTACGTAAATATGTTTGAATAAAGTGGTGAAATTATGTAACTACAGATGTGTATATATTCATATTTATAAAACAATAATCAACCAACTTATCTGCAAAATACTCAATAAATATTGGCTACCAATTAACAATGATGACATTGACCCTCATTAAAAGTAATCAATTTCTGTGGAATTCTCATATACTCATATATGTATGTACAATACAATACAAGCTAATGAAAGAATTGATATATGTAATTAGGTACGAATAAACTAATTGAAAATTTCATCAAATATCAGGGACACGTGGCAAATGGACAAAAGTCGAAAGGATATAAATTTAGGCGAGTGGCATAAGCAAGTATTGTATATACGGTTAATATTAGGGCACTTTCACAAATAACTCCTTACAGTTTTATTTAATGTTGATATACTTTTGTTATTATTTTATTAATTTTTAGTTATAATTTATTATAACTATGTATAAATAACTTTAGTGAGGTCAATATTAGAATGTGATTCACTGATATGGAACCCCAATTATCAGGTTCTTTCTTCTATTTTTACTTTTTTGCATTAAGACATTTCCCATTGAACTCTACGATAATTGTTCCTCCCTATACCAACCGTGTAAAGCTTCTAAATCTACTTACTCTCGCAAGTCGTAGAGATATGTTAGGCGCATTGTTCGTAGTGAAACTTCTTAACAGATCAATTTATAGTTTATGGCTCTTATCTGAGGTAGGCCTTTACTGTTTAGGCCTTTACTGTTAAAGTCATGTAAAACAGCTTATGAATTCAATGAATCGTTTCACCGATTGTTTCACAATTTTAATTTTCATTCCAGTACCTTCGATCTCTGAGAATCACTTTTTAGCATCAAACTGTTCTCACTTTAAAATTCATTTAAAATTCATTTAAAATTCCATAATTACTAAATTTCAGCTGTAGAATAAGTCTTTTTTCTGTAGCTAAACAGTTTTAAATCTCGACGCTTAACAAACACTTCCCAATCATGACACGGCATACGCCGTTCGTTATGCGGATGACGCTTCTCATGTCGGTTTGGCGGATGGAGGGTATTCGTTGGGCTTATTATTATAAGCACGAAATATATGTAATTTCTTCATATTTAATTTTAATACTTCATATATATATCAAATTACCTGTGCTTACGTATAAATACATATGTATGTACGGGGGTTACCTTTTATATCAGGGATCAGGCAATCTTGGCATTCCAAGTTGATAACAAACTACTTTATCGTAAATTTTTAAATTTTTGATATAATACCACACATAACTTTAAATATTCACCTCGGCCAAAAAATTAATTCAAATTGTGCACATTTTTGCGCGATTGTTTTTAACAATTGTCGACGTGGATTAACTCAGCAACAGAGCATGGGCGAACTTAATTCCATTTTTTGTAATGAAGCTCCATCAGCGACCAGTGGTAGAGTACTCCAAGAAGATTTTCATGAAGGTCGCCCAGAATCAGTTGTTGTTCCGGAATTTATTTAAGTTATACTCAAACTGATATTGTAAGATCCTTATGCTACCTGGCGTGGGAACGAGACAACTACAGGTACTAGTGGGATCAGCTTATATGCAATATTGCCTGAACATTTGACTGTGAAAAAAATTTCGCTCACGTTGGCTCCCGCACTATTAGTCAATCTCTCAAAATACGCTCGATTGGTTGAGAGAAATGTTGAAAATATACAATGGCGGTGCATCGAAACTCGCTCATGACATCGTGAGAGGTGATTTACGTATGCGCTCGAAAGTAATCAGCGGTCGGCACACGAACCAACAACATGGTTGCCAAGCTTTTGGAAAAAACTGAACATGCCGCAACTATACCATTAGATACGCAAAACAGTGAATTTTGAGTTGTTCACACTATTTGTTTGCGATCAAGAAAACCAACCGCCAAAAATGAATAAATTTTAACACACCGACTGTTACAACTTCAGTTTTGAGCAATCAAAACATCGATTTGATGAGTCATCCACGGTACAGTCTTAACTTGGCACCGAATGACTTCCTCATATTCCCGTAAGTAAAAAATAAATTGAGAGCTCAACGCTTTCGACGCGCTTGATGTGTTCTCAATTCATGTTTCAATCTCAATCAGAGGTGTAAAAGTGGTTCAGACACATGCAAAATGGTATAGTTCTTGACGGAAAATATTATTAAAAACAAAAAAGTGGTTTTCGATGATTTTTTTAGTTTTTTTTTCTCTAAAGTCGTAATATAAAAGGCAACCGTTATATTATATATGCATAACTAAAGTTGTGGTAAAACTGTAGTACTTCCGAAGCAAAGTTTTCTTGTTTTTGTTCTGTTTGTTTGCTTTCGTACAACTTTCTTTCCAGGTTGCAGCTTGAAGTTTCAAATAAATGAAGTATTTATTCAAATCTCTTTGTTAACTACATCCCAAGCTAAAAGCAGATTACAAAGCCAAGATAAGCCATAAACTCGAAGAAAATATTAAAAGCAAAATGATTTTTTTTTTATAAACTTATATAAAAGCTTTAAAGGTTGAAATAAATGTATATATACTACAATAAAAAGCAGTGATTAATACAAGCATGAAGAGCTTTTAAAGCATTGAAAGATAAACTCAATTCGAAACACTTTACACAAAAAGAAAATTATAAAAAATCTTAAGTATATATCAAGGTATTTAAAAGTGAAGCGAAATGTGAAAATAATTCACATTATTAATAGAAAATATATAATAGATTAAGCATTGCACACTTAAGCTGCGACAACACGACAAGCGACAGCTGTCAAATTGAGTGCAGAGGAAAGCTTGCCACGCTTTCAAACTTCTTGCTATCAAAACAGCATAGAAATGTGTAGTAATTTTAACCTTGTAAACGTTTCTAATTAAAAAAAATATATATATGGGGTTATCTATTTTGTGATTTCGAAAATGAGCTTTAATAAAAAGCGTTTAAAATAGATTTTCTCCATGACATTCCCTTTTCATTATAAAGTTTGAAACTTGGCACTTTTCGACAACCTTATGGCCCATATTGGGCGGGGTTTTAACCATAACTTCACGAATATTGGTTTTCAGGTACTCAAGAGTAAAAGGTTTATTCGCAGCTCCACAAAAGAAGTCGGACAGTGTCAAGTCGCATAATCCCAGTGGCCAATTGACATCGAAAAGTTGAGAAATTACGCGGCCTGGAAACTGCTCTGACAATAAAGCCATATCTTGTTGAAACCACTTATTGTTAAAGTCGTGTTTTTCAATTGCAGACCGAGAAGGATCGGCTATCATACGACCATAACGCTCCGAGTTGACAGTTACAACATGGTGCTTTCGTTTTCAAAGAAGGTCAGCTGACAGTAATTTTTATGTTTTTTTTTTTGATGTAAAGGCCACTCTACAATTCTTTGATTATACTCAGAGCACCAAATGCGACAATTTTGCTCATTTACGTGTCTCTCCAGTGAGAAATGTGCCTCGTCGCTTAAGAAAATTTTGTTCGAAACAAATTTTTGCTCAAAAAATCATTGTCCTCTGCTTCTTGTTGAAGCATACCATCAACGCATCCCCCTTGTGAATAGTCACCTGTCTTTAGTAGTTGGGTGAGCTGGATTTCATATGGATTACGGTGTAAGACCCAGTACAAAATATACCTTAATGGGCCATAATAGAGTCTCAGTTCTTGGGTATGTCGAGGAATAGACGCATTCGGGTATTCGGTTACACTTTCAAATACAGTAGCGATATTTGAATATTCGAGGTGAACCGATGAGCCAACGATGATGCACACGACTTACAATATCTGTAACCGATAGAGACTGCTCTACAAATTGCTTTACAATTTTACCAATCGGTTGAGCAGCAGAAAGATTATATGCACCATAATTCTTACTTAACGTACGTAACGCGCTCACATTTTTAATCACCAATTTTGTTGTAGGTTTTAATAATTTTAATGCGTTTTGCGGTTGTTAACTATTCCATATTCATAAACGAGAAAATTTCAAAAAAAAATAGAAAAAAACATGTTTGGTTTGACAGTTTCAATTTGACAGATGTCTAAATACAGCTCTGTACTTTTGAAACCCCAACATAGATAACCCCATATATTTAATTTTGCTTTTTTGAAGTGAAAGCTTTTTAAAGCGCTTTAAGGAAAAAAATTATTTTGGAAGCAAAAGCTGTGGCAATCGGTACTTGTTTTCAAAATGTTCTGTCACTCTCATTTTATTGAAAAGAAATCGTCGTTGTCGCAGACTAAGTGTTCAAGGCATTATTCAGCAGATAGAATAGAGAAGAGTTGCAAGCGCATGAAACTCAGCTGGAAAATCAAGCAGATCTACTTGGAAACTTTGTAAATATTTCAAACTCTATCACTATTTCAAGCATAGAACATTTTAAGCTCAATCGGAAGCAAAGAAATATTTAGAAGGAATGTTCACTCAACCCGAAAATCCTTCCACCTTCCAAGTATAACTCTGCCGACGCTGTGGACCTTCTGAAATGGACAAATTTAGCAAGCAGGTAACTGAAGCAGGACTATCAGGTTTTCAAGCAACTACATATGTATGCGGGTGAAATGCGGGAAATATTCTTATCTGCCACGTTTGGAGACAATTTTTTGTTGTTGCATTACTTTACAGTGCGCTGTATACAGTTGATTGGTGCAGGTGTCGTTGCGAACAAATTCAAGCGGTGGGCTAAAGGACGTCACAACTAGGCAATGGACTATTGCAATTATTTACTTATTTACAATTTACAAAGGTGCAACTACAAAAACATTGCTACCAAAACAAATTGCTGACGGCAAACGGACGAGGCAAGTTACTTCCTTTGCCCGCCAACCTCGTTTGATGTGTGTGTCAGGTGCCTGAGTGTTTACGTGGTGCTTGAGGAAGAACTTATAAAGCCCACTTACACTGCGTCGACCCATTGGTGAGTAACAATCAATCATTGGTTGTTTTTGCTGTTGTTGTAGCATTGATAGTTCACGCTGCTGTTGTTGGTGCGGTTGGCGATGTTGCTGGCGCGTTTGTTGTTGTTGTTGTTGTTGTTGTTGTTGTTGTTGCTGCTGCATCTCATGCTGTTGCTCGCAATTAATGAAGTTAGCACTATCCGTATTGAATGAATCGCTCGCAATCATGCTTTCGCCCTTATAACGTCGCAGCGACGACGACTCACGACTCTCGCGCGAATCCTCACGTTCGGCACACGAGTACTGCCGCCTGTACTGGCGGCGGCGTCGGAATGCGCCCTGACCCTGACTACCATAACCGCCAGCATAATTGATGGTGGTGGTGGTGTTGGCCGCATAGGTCGACTGGCCGATTGGCAGCGGTGTGGCGCGATAATAGCATGGATCGTAGCTGAATTGACGCCGACGCCACTGCTCGTACTGACGGTAGTGACTGAAGAGCCGTCGTCGCCGCAATATCAATTGCTTTTTCGCCTCCAGCAGGTCCTGTTCGTCGTGATTGCTCGAACGTTCTGTGGAATTCTTCAAAATGCTGCGTTGTTGTGCGAAACGTTTCTGTCTCACTTTATGATCGCCAGTTCCAGTTATGCCGCCGCCGCCACCGCCGCTGCCATCCTTGAGGCCAACTTTCGATTTCGACTGTATGAGCAGTTGATGTTGTTGATGATGTTGTTGCGAACGCTGCTGCTCGTGCAATGTGCAGTGATCGTGCTGCATACGACCGCCATCTACTACGTCAACATCGTCATCATCGAGAGTATCCCTTTCATTCACTCGTTCGTTGGCGCTACCATCACTATCGCTATCGCTGTCGTTGATATTATAGCGGCTGCCGCCGGCATCACCATCGCGACTGGTTATTTCATTTTCCAGGCGCAGGCAACTGTTGGCGCCACAGCTGTGCAATGGTGTCGCCAACGCCGCGGTAGGGCTGTCGATGCTGTCGACCTTGACGTAGCCTTCCGACGATGCAACGCCATCACCATGCGCTGGTTGCTAGCTCTCCACATCGGCCTTATGCAGCAATGCAAATTGGCAACCGCAGTCGCGTTCCAATTCGCGGCGCGGATACTGAAAGCAGCGATCGAAGAGTCCGCAACCCTCGCAACGCGGCAAACACTGTGTATGTGTGTGTATGCGTGCGTTTGCATGTATGTATGTGTGTTTGGGTGTGCGTGAGCAGCAGCGAGTGGACACACATACAAATGTTGAAGACACGCATACGCGCGCACGAGCACACATACATAAACGGCACGATTAAGAAGCGATAAAAGGTGTGACAAAGAGAGAAAGAGAGAAGGAAGAGATATAAGAAAGAAATAGAGGAGGAGAGATGTAAACACTTTGACTTGTTTTTTCTTTTTTTTTTTTTTGGTTGACGTCTTGACGCCGTGTATGCAAAGGACAATGGATAAACTAAATACATTTGTATGTATGTACGTAAAAACTAAGCAGCAAAAGCTGCAAAAGCTGAGTGAAAGGGAACAGCAGTCATAGGCAAATAACAAAATAAATATCTTAAATTGGAATTTAGAACCTTATAAATATAATAATTATAATTTATAACCTCGCCAATGGGAGAGTTTCCACCACGCCTAAAACTATGCAGCGAAAATCTTAATTGAAACTCTCGATGAGCATTGCACAATTTGTTTAAAGCGCTGGAGCATAGTTTTAAACGCAGTAATTCACAAAATAGTTAAGCGCTTTATTTTGCAAAAGTGCTAATAAAATTGCAAGTATGTTATTAATTTTCTATAAGCAATTTAATGATCTGAAAGATTAATTTAATTATAATTATGAGTGTGCATTAATTGTTGGGAAAAATATAAATATTTGAAATTATTAAATATAAACATAGCACCAGCAGGTTTACTTTTATGGGAGTATTGGTGAAATTGTTTTTGTAATTTGCCTATACTAAATTGGGGTTTCAAGCTGACATGCATAACATGCATTTAAATTGAAGGAATTAGCGTGAAAACTTTCGATAAGGACATAATGATGTGATTATACATAAATTTATTATTTCAATGTGAGCGCACAAAAAGTTTAAGTTTAATTTATGAAGTCTCGAAATACAAATTTCCACATAAATTTATTAGGTAAAATTATTCTCACAATATTTATTACTGCAACCATAATTTCTGTGTGATGATAAAATAACTATGCATTTTTAACTAAAGAAATACCTTTTGCAATGTTGTTTCATAATTTTTTTTTTTCAATACAATTATAATTCTATTTTCAAAAATTTACAATTATATGTTAATTTTTATAGTAACTATTTCTTTAATTTTTGATAGTTTTCTAACTACCACAAACGAAGTGAACGTTCGAAAAGCTTTTTCCTATGTGAAAAGTGAATTTAATTTTTTGAAGTATTATATATAATTGGCGCTTAGTAAATGCTACAGCGATTTTCGGCTGAGCTCCTCCTTCAATTTGTTGTTTTAAGTCTTCATATTTTCCAAAACGTACAGTTGATACTAGGCTGCCTCCGAGGAGCTGAAGGTTTTTTATGAAGAGCTTTATTTCATATCAGAAATACACTCAAAGAGGTTGACATTCCTAGTCGAGGGACGACCGCAAAAAGGAAATTTGACGTAATTTTTTATTTGAATTAATTTTCTATAACTTTTGGATGTTGATCGCACAGGGATTTGAATCCGAGCCTTCCGAATGGCAGTACGCAATGCTAGCCACTTGGCTACCGCGGCCGCCAATGTTTATGTTTTATATATTATACCTAATAAATATTGGTACTGAAAATCATCAAAATCGTACAATTTCATCATATATAGGAGCTCCTTCCAACCAATTTTATGGATATGAATGATATTTAATTCTAAAATGAAAACCCATAAATTCTAAATGTTCATAAAAGGTATAAGGTCTTCGGCATGACCGTACGATTTTATCATACGTTCTACTGTCAACATTTTTTTTTTTTTGGAGGGATCACCGAAAAATACATCGCAGTGACGGAGTTATGAATATTTTCAGTTGAAAATTTTAGAAATATTTTTTTTTCAGGCAGTAAATACTTAGTTGAAATAAATTTTTTACACTTAGCAGCTGTAATAAATAAACTACATGTCCGTTAGTGGCTCGTCACTGGTGTGCTGTTCGGCTGGCTATTCGGTGCACTAGCTTCAAGCTAAAACTTACGAGTGTTTCTACCCGAGTACAATTGAGGCTGATGAAGTGTAGATTTGCGTATTATCTTAATCATTTTTATTTTTATGCACAAAAACTGTTCGAATGACTAAAATGTTCGAGATTTAATTTCAATAAAATTCTTATTTCTTTCTTTGAGATTCATTGCAATTATTAATTTTTGTGGCGGTTAGAAGTGGTTTTAAATGGAATGGAATAGGAAATTATGGAATAAAATTTGAATTTTAATGTTAATTCTCTGAAAAAGGTAAGTAAAATAATTTAGAGCTCAAAAATTGTACCGTGATCTACTTCTATTCTTATCAGCTACCCTCAGAAATTGAGTATATTTTTTGCCTCGATAACATTTTATTTTATTTTTTTTGTTTTTTTAATAACATAATGAATCAATTTAACCAACGCGCGTATAGAAAATTGCCAAATGTGTTATAACTTAAAGTGGCATCCACTGGAATACACATAGCAATTAATGACGAGTGTAAAAAATTGCATATACTACTGTGGGCAAAAAGCAAGGCGAATTCGTTTGTAAAATTAAAAATCTTTATTTAATCCTCTACAGCGATTTCGGAATAGTCTCCTGCCGATGCAATGCATTTATACCAACGCTGTTTCCAATTATCGAAGCATGTCAAGTAGTCACGCTCTGGTATGACCTTCAGAGAGTGCGCCGATTCACGTTTAATCTCCTCAATCGACTTAAAATGGTGTCCTCGAAGTGGTCTCATGAGTTTTTGGGAAAGACAGAAGTCACAACGTGCTAAGTCCGGCGAATATGGTGGTTTGGGAACGATATTCGTGGAATTTTTAACGAAATGTTCACGAAGAATGAGTGCGATGGTGCATTTTTGTGTTTTTGGAACCAAACGAGATTTGACTTTTTGTAGGCCCAAAAACCTTTCAAAATCATTTTTATAAATTCTTCTGATATTTCAATTATATCAGTAAGATCTCTAACAGCCAATCGACGATTTTTGAGCACTTATTTCTTAATTTTATTAACACATCAGTTGACGTTGTTGGCCGTCGCGAGCGCTCCAAGTCATCAACACGTTCCCGAGCCTCTTTGAAGTCTTTGTACCACTTATGCACGTTCTTCTGCGACATAGTTGAGCCCTCAAAGGCTTTTTGTAGCATTCTGAATGTCTCAGCGGCTGAAAATTCGTACCGCAAACAAAATTTGATCGCATTTTTTCGCTCAATTAAATCAGACATTATAAAAATCGCCGAAGGCTCGTTTAGTCGTTTAGTAAACACAAGAAGAAGAATGATGACAGGCATGAAATTTGGCGTAGCTGTCAATAACAGTGCTGCCAACATTAAAAAAAAGAATTAACCATAAATATTAAACGCGCGAAACTCAAATTAAAAATTCACCTTACTTTTTGCCCACAGTAGCACATACGTGTATACAAACTTGCTAATAGTAAGCACTTTTCAATATTTATTTTGGAAGATATTTTCGAATGCATTATTTGCCATATGGTCGAAATTTGCGAATTTATAATTATTACCATGCAAATGGGCCAATTACATGTATAAAAAAAGTAAAAGCAAATAAAGTCTGAATTTTATTTAATAATATATGTATGTATATCTCAAATAAAATAAACAAAAATTATGGTTTGCAGTAAAATGGAAATTGTTTACGAACGTTTATTTGTAAGTATAAATTATTCAATTTTATTTTGGCTAACTAATATTTATGTGAATGTATGTAATTCAATTGAGTTGGTAAAATTCAATTTAAGTGAATACATATACATTACGCTAAGGGGAGGGAGGAGGATAAAGCATTTAACCAAATGTAATGAATTTAACTGCTCGTTAAAATTGTCAAAATAGCTAACTACTCGTACTACATACAATAACTACATACAATATATGCGCGCATTGAATTGTTGGTATGAAGGAATTTTTTTTTTTTTGGTTTCATTTCATGATCAATATCTAAGCTGTTATTTACGAGTTTGCACTTAAATACTTTCGGTTTTTGTTTTGTTTTTGGGTTTCTTTTTTTTTAATAATAAAATGCAAGTCATAAAATTAATTGAATTGTAGTAAATTTTTGTAGATACCTTTACGAATATATCTGGGTGTAGGTTCTAAAAATATATAAAATACAACAACAGTAAAAACAATGGTTATTTCAGTTAAAGCAGTGAGTAAGTTGATTAATAAGTTTGTTGTTATGTTTTATTTCTTCGAATTTTTTATGTTTAGCTGATTGGTTTTGACCTTTCATTAGAAACAATTGCAAAGGAATGTCTTAAGGTAAGGAGATCACGTAATGACAATACTTAGGCGATTATCTTTACATTAATGTATATAGTCTATATAAGTATGTAATGTAGAAAACAAAACACATATTTACTAATATATATATGTATGTAATAAGGCATAGGTAAAATGGCAATTGGCTAAATAAATGAGTATAAATGTGAGCTGCGAATGTTTCATATTTATTATAAAAAGTTAGTTTTCCTTAGTATTAAAAAAAACTTTTCACCTTCCTTTTTAAGTTGGTAAGCTTAAAGGCTCTTCATTTCATCCTCACTCTACAGAAAACTCTACAAAGGCTGCTGTTTTGAACTTTCAAATTAATTACACAACAACGCGCTAATATAAAGTAAAGCTTCAGTTGGAGTGGTTACATACACTAGCGGCCAAACGCATGTACTCTGTGACTTTTATTTTAACGCTTAAATATTTTCCAATATAATCACTATTTAAATTAAAAATTTTTATATTAAAGTTGTTGAATTTGCACAACTGATTACTTTTACGTTATGTTATTTACTTTATTTTATTTTTATTCACTTTTTCAATTTAATTTTATTTTAAATCATTTTTTTTATATTATTTTAATTTTATTTATTTTGCTACATCTTATTTTTTATTAGGCTTTGTGTATTTTATTTTAATTTTATGTATGTATTTTTTAATTATTATTGTATATTTTATTTTGTTTTATTTCGCATTTTTTCATTTCAATTTATTTTCATTTCTTGTATTTATTTGATATTGTTTTATTTTATTTTATGTAATTTTATTTAATTTTTATTTATTTTATTTTCCTGCATTTTTAATTTTATTTTTTTATTTAATTTTAATTTTACTTTGTTTTATTACGTATTAATTTATTAATATAATTAAATTTTATAATAATTTAATTATTTTTATTCAATTTTATTTTTATTTAATTTATTATTTTAATTTATTTATTTTTTTTTTGTAATTTATTCTGTTTTATTTTAAGTTTTTCATTTCAGTTTACTTTGTTTTATATACTTATGCATTAATTTATTAAATTAAATTCAATTTAATTTGTTTAATTTAATTCAATTTTAGTGTTTTTTTTAATTTATATTCTTTTTTGTTTTTTATTTTATTTCATTTTTTATTTTTATTTTTTAAATGTGTTATAGTTTATTTTATTTTCTTTTAGTATTTATTTTACATCGTATTTTATTTAACTTTGTTTTTTTCATATGTTTTATTTCTGGAATTTATTTTACTTTATTTTTTTATTTTATTTAATTTCATTATTTTGTTTCCTCCTGAAAAAGATGATTCTCATATTATTATTTTTTGTTTTTAATGAAGGTTTCCAATTTTTATATGCTTTAAACGTTTTAACAACTAATTAAACAAAGTAGTACAAAAATCCAACTGCCGAAATAATGTGGTTTTGAAACAAAAGTCATCATATCCTGAATTATGGTCGCCAGTATAAGTTGCTGCTCACCTATGTACAAACATATTACGTATACGTAGTGTAGTACCCACAAATATGTTGCATATACGCCACAGAGTACCTTTGAGGCAATTTATTTGCATATTTCCTTTGTACATTTAAATTTTTCCCGTTTCTTTAAAATCTCACTACGAATTTGCATTCCAAAAATATCAAAAAAAAAAATATTTGAATTAAAATTTTTCATCTTTGCTACACTCAAATATTAATTATCTTTACGAATTTTTCTCATTATATTCACATGTATGTCTCTGGATAGCATAAAGAGGCTAATTAGGCACGCACCTGGGTACGCAATCACGCGCCAGCAACCAAAATGCAAAACCAAAGTATGAAGGGTGTAGTATTTAAGCGAATGGGGGGAAAAGAATATGCGCACTATACATACCTGATGTGAATGTTGGCCATTGCAGCCGGCCCCAGTGCAAACGCCTGTGCCGGGCACTTTCAATTGTTCATGCTTGTAGTCCGGTTGATATGGGAGCAGCATACGGATTTTACCCCAACGATTGAAGAAGAGCGCAATAGCGCCAGCCCATACCATCAACACGATAAGGACAATACCAATTTCAACGCCTCGTATCTGTAGGGCATCAAACGTACAATAGCGAATAAGAGCAAAAGAGGGGAAGAGGTTAAGAACAAGGAAATTCAGTTAACCGAAAATGTGAAAATGTAATAAATTCTGGGAAATTGATATTACATAAATTATATAAATGAAATGAAGAAAATAATAAATAAACACTTTCCAGTTACACACTCACGCAAACATAAACAAATCAAATTTTATTTATATATACAGCATATACTTACGGTTGGCAATTCACGTGGTCTCTGCCCCATATTGGTGGCTGTTGATGTTACCTCGTCACCATAAGTACCGTTACCATTTCCTGCCGCTGCGCTAGCCAAATTGCCACCGATAAGACCTGTCCCACCACCAGTCGCACCGCCTGCTCCACCACCGGCGATGCCTGCATTTACATTACTAACACTATTATGGCTGCCAAGCGCACCGGTCACATGCCCGGGCGCATAGTCCTGTTGCGATGAAGTCTTAGGCATATCTGAAGTCGGTTTTTTGATGTGCCACATTTTCGTTTCGTTTGGTGTGGCATTTTATTTTGTTTTTTTTTTCGATGGCATTTGTGTGTTCGCGTGCCGATCAGTAACGGGAACAATTGGCATACACACATACAGGTGTACGCGTAAATTAATGGTTTAACGATGTAGAAGAACGAATTTGGATCAGAAAAAAAGATGGAATAAAAAGAAGAAAATACATAAATGATTGAAGAGGACAGTTGTGAAAAAAGGCAAAAATTCGATTAGTGTTATTATTGATGTGTGTACTTGTACAAAAGTTTATAAAGTTCTCAGATATTCTATTACGCTCTATCTCATATACTTATATATAAACGAGGATACAGTAGTGTGCTTAATATGTTGCAATAGGCAAATTCAAATTTATGCAGAAAAATTTTCACAATTTTGCTCAATATTGCAACTGAGGATTTAATCAATATACATGGTTATGATTTTTGAAATACTTTAATGTTATTAAAAAAAAAGCAATCCAGAGCTCATTTCATTTAAGGTTTCTCTACAGTTCATTGTAGGGATAAATTCCAATCATTTTCCAGAAGTTCAAGCTGTACAGCAAGCTATCGCATACCACAAAAATTTTGAATTTTTCCTTAGCATTTTCTCTTTAACTTTAAAATATCTACTTGACAAAAAAAATTAGTATTGTTTTTTAGCAGCTCGAAAATTTCAACCAAACACTGAGCAGTGGACTTGTATCGGACGAAAATTGAGCCGCTCGAGCGCTTGATACCCGGGTCAGCTAAAGCTCTGGTTCCTTTTAGCATAATCTTTGTTTTACTTGTTTCTTAATTATTTTATTTAAAAATTTATGTATACTCGTATGTTGGCATCGCTACTATTTATATACACGTATATCCTTTTAAATATTTTCTTTTATTTAAAACATTAATTTATTTCAATCTTTGATCAAAATTATATTAACAAATGTGCCTGTTGATGAAATGTAAGATACAGCAGACCATAAAAATAATTCTTGTGGTAAACTGATATTATTAATATTTGACAATATTTTTGATTATTTTTTATATTTTTAATTTAAAGTAACGATTTTGCTTAATTCCGCTCCGGAACTTTTGATATCAAAGGTCGGTCGGTCAGTCGCTCCAGAAGCAGATAAAACTCTGCTTCTATATGAGCCAGACCGACATACAAGCTGTCAAATAATAGTTGAGGCACTAGACATCACTCATATGATAGGTTGAATACATTCGAAGCAGACTGGCTACTCAAAGAAGCTCGATGTTTATAGACCATTTTAATTAATACAAATAAATTTGAATGCTCGAATTGCCATCCGTGTAACACTTTTGAACTTGCCATAATCCATGAAAGCTTGGATTGACGCTGATGCTGAGAGCACGATGGGATCAAGAGAGAATTTCCCATTACGAGCTGCGTAACCTAATCTAAAGAAACTTTCATTCTGAGCTCTACTGTTAACAATGAGCACGATTACAGCGGTAAAAAAAAAATGCCGTCCAGAATTGATAAATAGAAAAAGCGTTGTGATTCTCATGACTAGTCTCAGCCTCATACATTATTGATAACCAGTCAAAACTTGATGCCAATCATTTAGCTATGACTTTGTTTTAACTAATTGCCATTTGGTTTGGTCGCTACAATATGCCCTTCGGGATAAACAGTTGGTCGAAACTATAAGATGTTTATATTTAAAAATGTTTATTTTATTTAGATATCCCGTTCTGTCTTCAAGAAAATAAATATAATTTTAACAATAACAATAATAGTAATAATAATAATTTTAATAAATATAATAATATTAATAATCATAATAATAATTATAATAATTATAACAATAATACCAATAATAATCATAATAATAATAATAATAATAATAATAATAATAATAATAATAATAATAATAATAATAATAATAATAATAATAATAATAATAATAATAATAATAATTATAATAATAATAATAAGAATCACAATAATGATAATAATAATAATAATCATAATAATAATAATAATAATAATAATAAATAGAATAATAGTAAAAATCGTAATAATAAGAACAATACTAATAATAATAATAATAATAATAATAACATAAATATTTAAAAAAATCCGTTCCTTAGTCTTTGCGAAGTCTTTATAAAGTCTTAAACCAAATAAATATTGTTACGTACATTTTGTTTGCCCACCACTGTGCGCTTCATTCATAATAAATCAACTTAAGGGCATTGTACATCGTGTTATAAGTACAAAAAAATAAATAAATAAATATAGCTTGACTTTCTAGTTTTTGTGTTATATTTCATACTTTCTGTTTTTTTTTTATGTCTGCCATTGGAATGATATACGCTTACATACATATGTACATTCGTGCATATTGTATACACTGAGTGCAAAACTATGAGCGACTCCACCAAAAATAATGATTTTTATGACGTCGTTTTTATCTTCAAAAGAAAAACACAAAAAAAAATTTTAACGCCTGAATACATTTAGAAAACTATATACTTTATTTCTTTTAGCAAAATAATTTAATCTGAACATTTTTAGGCTTAAAGAGTAAATAATGCAGATAATAATTCGTAGTATTATTGTAAATTTCAAACGTTTTAAATTACGAGAGGAAGCTATAATCCACTCCGATATATTCAACTGATATGAGAATTCATATTTAATTCCGAAACTTAGTATCGGAACGCTGTATTTTTAAAACTCTTTGGTTTCCAGAGCAGAAGAAGAAGTTTTATATTGGAAAAAACAATTTGTTTAGTTATTAAATCGTTTTTTTTGTGCTGTCGTTCATATGAAGAACAAAAATTTTTAATATTTTTTATTCAAATATATGTATATAAATGTTACACAATGAAAGCTGTTGAAATTTTTCGACTTACCTAAAGTACGAAATATTATCTGCCTACTGCGATACTTCTTTCCAAGCCAAATCGCCGTCACCGCTATCGAGTATTGTGTGCTGGGCGATAGACGATCTAAAATGATTGCCTCACTATTACCGGCGACATCCTGGACAACCCTGTAACTTAAATTAATTCAATTACCACTCTTTGCTACAAACTACAGGCGGCACACACATATACATATATGTCAACACACACAAAATATGTAAATATAAGATGCAATGGATACATACAGCAGCAGGCAATCGACGCGTCGGTGGCGAGGAGGCGAGCTAAGAGGTTAAAGAGTGGAAAAAAAGCAAAGGCGAATGCCGAGACGGCACGGCATATCCATGTGCATTGACAATACCGGCATGCAGCGATGAATGCATGCATACAAGCACACTTTTATATATATATTTTCTTGTACATATATCGAAGGGAGATTAAGTGAATAAAATACGAGCTTACAGAGTAAGACCGTTTACAATATAAACCGCAGACTCAAACTAAAGTAAGGGATGTTGATCTTGAGAGCAAAAGCTGTTTGACACAATAGCAACAAATTAATGGTACTTGTGTGCAAGCAATCCTAGGCGAGAGAAGGGATGGGGGTTGGGGGATAAAAGAAATGGGGTTAAGTAGTGGTGAAAACAGTATAACGGTGATGGTTAAGATACAAAAGATTTTTTTATACATATTAACATATTACTGAAACTTAAACGTGTTGTAAAGCAATAACAAAAATAATAAAAATATTTACATGCAAATTTACACATACACGTACAGCAACCATACATACAATTGCATGAGAAAATTTCGAATGAGAAATAATGTACTAAATAAAAATTAAAACAACACATATTTTACATCGAAAATCTGTATAAAATTGCACATATATACATAAAAAACAACAACAAATAATAAAAATTTTTGCTTACACCAAAATAAAAATAATAAAAAACTACCCAAGCAACAGCATTTTCCTAAAGGAAATGTGTTTATTTTTGTTTTTGTTTGCATTTATTTTTTGTTTTGCCAGCATAATTAAAAATTTAATTACTGCAAATGAATGAGCGTGAGAATTAAATGAGGCGAAAGATAATGCTCAATGAATTGAAAAACCAAAGTCCACTTATGCTGTTGCTATCACTGCCGCTGCTGCAACCGACCAACAACACCTCATTGTGGCCAATTGCTGGCCGCACAGCAACGCTTTACTTCATTGCTCGCAGCATTTTCCGCTAAAACAAATACAAATACGTGTACGTCTACTTATCCGCTTGATTGGTCTGTGTGTACGTTGATTCGCCCATTAAAGGAATAGCCAGCAATTCCTTTTTAATTTAGTTGCTAATTTGTTATTTGTTTAGCAGTTTGCTGTTTGCTCTTTGCTGTTTTACTATTTGATGTTCTGCGCGCTCTTGGCGTGGTCATGGATCAAAGATGTTGCTTGCTGGCGGGTCGTAAGTGCGTAATGGTATTTTTAATGACTTTTAATGTTTGTTGGTTGGGAAATAAGAGGAAAAAAGTGTTGAACTAGAATGTGCGGTTTTCAAGTAGTTAAAAAGGAATTTTCTCCGTAATTGTTAATATAAAGTTTGTCTGTGATAAATTTTAGTGATAACCTCGAGGCGTTTAAAGAAAGTTGCTTTGAGTTGCTTTTGTTTCAGATTATTTAAAAATGAATTAATATATATTTTTTAGTTTCACCTGAGTTAGTCCTCCGATTTGTTGTATCTGTACTGATAGTTTTCGAAGAAATGAAGGGAGTTTATTCTAAGCAGCCTCCGAAAGACTAATGGGTTTTTAAGAGGAACTTTTAATGGTGATTTTCTAGCTATTACTTTTTGGCAACACCGGTTTAAATAGCTAACGCACATTTCGTGTTTTGTATCACCGTCAAACGTCTTCAGTTTGGCCTATAATTTAACCATAAGTTGTCTTACAAACGAAGAACGCTTAAGAATTATTGAATTTTTTTAAAAACAGGGTGCTCTGCTAACAAACTTCAAATCTATTCGATTGTGTTGAGCAACGAAGCTCTTTTTTGGCTTAACGGGTTCGTAAATAAGCAGAATTATCGATTTTATAGTGAAGATAAGCCAGAAGCATTGCAAAGAGCTACCCATGCATCCAGAAAAAGTCAGAGTTTAGTGCGGTTTATGGGTTGGTGGCATCATCGGACCGCACTTCTTCAAAGATGATGCGAATCGTAGGGTAACTGTGAATGGTAAGCGTTACTATGAGATGATATCAAACTTTTTTTTGCAAAAAATGCAAGAGCTTGACTTGCATGACATTCAGTTTTAACAAGATGGTGCCACATGCCACACAGCACGCGTAACAATGGACTTATTTTGGTTCGAGTTCGGTGAATATTTTATTTCACGCTTTTGTTTGTGGGGCTATGTTAAATCCTATGGCTATACAGACAAGCCCGCTTCAACTGACGCATTGAAATACCCGCCGAAATGTTGCAAAGAGTAAGCCAAAATTGAACCAAGCGTATGGACCATTTGCGGCGCTGTCACGGTCAACATTTGCTTGAAATAAACTTCCAACATTAAATTATATGGACCGTACTATCGATTCAAATACATATTTCATACATTTATCTGAATTTTATGTTTTTTTTTTTTGAAAAACTTTTCTATAGCTCTTAAAAAATCACCCTTTACTTCAGGTCAGAAACATGTTTGCAAAGCTTGACTTTTTCTACTGAGGGTAAGCGCCATTAGAAAAATTAATCATTTATAAGGACTCAAACCATGACCTTTCTAATGGCAACACCTATGCTACCCACTCAGCTAATGCGATCGCTAAAAATTATACTTTTAACAATTATTCGCCCTTTAGTGCAAATAAATACACATAATTTATCTTAAAGCTGATGATCCGTGAATTATTATAACTTTCATGATGATGAAAGGCAGTGTACCCTGGTTGAAAGAGTAGTGAAGTAACAGAAGGGAAGACTCTTCAAAATTAGATCTATCGTGAGGAGTTTTTTTTTTCAGATATCAAACTTTTTCAAAATAATAGCTAACTTGGTATTATACATTCGTATCTACAAATGAACTTTGTCACCGAAAATCACTGGGATCTGAGGACTACATATATCGATATACGCAAGTTCAAATAAATATTGGTATTTCAAATTATTGATTATTGAAATAATAGAAAAATAGAATAAAATTATATAATTCTGCTCGGGCTCTAGTGCAATTTTTCCTTAATTTTTAAACATCCTTATTTTTTCCCAATCTTATCACCCGAAAAGATAATACAAAATATACCCAGAACATTTCCACATAATAACGATGATTAATACATTAATTAAATCTCCACTTAATGCCTTAAGCTTACTTAATTGAAATCAAATTAATTACAACCGAAAGCTTTGATAAATATTTACATATAATCATGTGACAATCATGCAGATGTACAAAAAATTTATTTCTCACTTGAGATTCAGGAAAATCAAAAATGATTGAACAAGAATTATAGCAAAAAGAATAATAAAACAATGCGAGCTATGAATAACTTTGTCACACAAAGCTTGGCCAATGTTTTTTTTTAGAAATTAAGGGTTTTCCAATTTGATGTGCTATTTTGAAATTCAAAAATACTTTTCCCCTAAAAGGTCGATGTTTTCATTGCTTGTTGAAAGCATCATCCAAATCCGGCTATAAAAAAACAATAATCATCTCTTAATAGCACCTTTCACCTTTTCAAAAAAGTAAGGTACAATGACCCCGCCGGTCTATAGACTACACCAACCATTTACACGTGGCAAATGGAGAGGTTTTCCGATCCCCAGATGCGAATGTTTTACTATTTACCATCGAGCTCGAAATGGAACTCATCTGTCAGGATGATTTTGCTATAAAATTTTATAGTGAATTTTAAGGATTTCAACGCGTTGTTGAACCGTCTATCGTAGCGTAGTTTTTACTTGTCAAGAAATTACAACTTCAAAAGTGATATCTATCGGAAAATATGTAATGCCTTCTAATGGGAACCCCTTTAGTTAAATTTTTTATCGCAATATTTTACTTGTTAAAGTGAAGTGCGCTTAAGCTCATAATAAATCCAAGCATAAAACTTTTTGCGATTTCATACAAAATTAACATGACATTCATTCATTTCATTTCATTTAAGACCACAATAAATTCATTAACCCGTTTTAGTAGATTATCATTTCAATTAAACAGTCATATGTTTTGCAAAAAATAAAATAAAATAATATAAGAAAAGGAAGGGACACACAAAGCTACTGGAAAACAATGCAACTTAATGTCATTGGTTATAAAATATTCACAAGCCACAGATAATACAGACAAACGAAATATTGTAATAAAAGTAAAATAAATTAGAATTGTCAGCTGTACACGCGCTGTACGTATTGCCTGTGTGTAGACAAACAGAATAAAAGCATTCAAATAAAAGTCAAAAACATTTAAATGCATATGAAGTGCGAAGCACATTTGAGAATAGAGGCGAGGCGCAATGTGACAAGTGTTGCAAAAATGGTTTGTATGTCGGTGTGTGACGCAGAAAATGTTTTTAACCAGACGCGATGCGCCATAAAAACACACATACACAAGTACACCGGCATGCAAGCATTTTTAACAGTTAATTACATTTGTTGTTCGCAATTGAAAAGAGTGTCTCTTATGCTTAGTCCAACGCGTTGAGAATGCCAATATTTTCGAATTGACTTAATTAACTGCCTGACAACGCATGAAAGGTCAGATTCACATAAGCCATGCAGTGCGGCAGGTGGGGTGATGGGCAGGCAGCCAAACGAATGAATGGTTATTTTACTGTTGCTGTAAATGTGCCAGCTTGCTATATTTGTGTGGGTGCATGTATATAAAATATTTTTATTTTTATGTTCCAGCAACATTAACAACTATCATACTAAAGCCAACTTGCCAATATACAATACCCATCTACCAACAGCATTTTGTTGGCAGCCCTTAAAACCAAACAACAACAACTTATACTTAACATCACCGTACTACCAACAACACCAGTTTGTCGAGAGTAGATAATGCGTAGGTACCATAAGTATGTATGTGCGTACTTTCATTGAAAGGTAACGAAGACACTTATTCCACTGTTGAGCTAA